TCCCCCCCCCCCCCCAAATGATGTATAAAACTAAATTATAAATAAATAAAAAAATAAAAATTGAATTTCATCTTTTGTTTCCAAAATATCAAATATTATAAAAATTACAAAATTATATTAAAAATTATGGTTAAAATAAATTTGGGCGTAGTCAAATTAAACCAATTAGCTTTTATAGGACTTGTAATCACATTTATAAATGACAAGTCATCTACTTGCAAAGCGGTTAGGGTTACAAGTATTTAATAATGTGTCTTTAATAGCGTAGGGATAGATTCTTATATATAATTATAATTACAACAAATATAAAATTAATAGCCATTAAAATGGATCTGTTTAGGAAAAATATATAATCGAGTGATTAATGCAATTCCGCCTCTATCTTCATTAATTTGGTTGTGTTTAAAATATTAATGGTAGGAAAGAAATTAATAAATTAATGATAATAAACTATTAACTAATTTCTCCTACCCCTCTGGAACTTGAATAATTGAAAAGGAGCCCTTTTTTAAGATATTAGCTAAATTAATATACAGATAGAAATTGTTGTTGAAAAGAAAAGTCCAGTCTAAATCATCATTGGTTTATAGTCGAGGAATACAATCTCCGTGTGAAACCTTTTGAAAAAGCCCAAAGCAAAGCCATGAGAGCTTATGCTTAAAGTGGAAAATATCATACAATTGTAGAGACCTGTGTTGTTTAACGGATATTTGAGATATTATTTGGTGGGGGATGGACATTTCCTCTATTATGGGTTGGAATTGGCGAAGGTTTTTAAGGGAAGTAAGACTTTTATTTATTTATTTTTATTTTCTTTTTTTTGCTCTATATTATGAACAAAAAATAATAAATGGTTTTTGGAAATTATTTAAACTAAACAATATAACAAAGGTAAGTTGTTATGCTTCTTAATGGTTAGTGTTAATTGTCAAATTGGAAAAGAAAAATTGGTTGGCTTCTTTAGATCGGTTGACTTCTTTGGCTCGTTTTGATTATTTTGGATCATCGCAATATATATATTTTTTAATTAAGACCATAAAAGATTAATATAATTATTGTTTTGGACAATTATTAATATTTAGTACTATTTTTTATTTTTTTTTTCTGATTATGTTTGGTTCAGGAATAAATTCTAAATTCGATTTTCTAACTAAATTGAATATCGTAGATAAGATTGAATTTCAGCTGAATTTAAGAATGATGAGCTAGAGTGAACTTAGAAGTCTGGAATTGGACTTACTATCAAAACGTGTAAGAATTAGAATTAAGTTTTTTTTTAAAAAAAAAAAAATTGCCCATCTTCAATTATTTGAATTGATAAAAAAAAAACAAAAAAAAAACTTGGTATCAATTTTAAGGTTATTTTTATTAAATTAAAAGGTTGTATATATATATATAATATAATATTATCATAAGTGACATAAGGTGGACAAGTAAGAGGATTTTGTAAGCTTTGAAATAAAAAGTGTTGAGCTTTATCCTTTAAGACAAAGTTAATCAAAACTTTGAAGATAAATAATATAAATTTCATGCTAACAATAACAATGTCTTAAATCACTTTTCGAGCCTTCCGTGCACCTATTGTAGGTAAGGTTGATTTCACGGTTAAAATATTCATTCCAAAGGTCATACTGTATGCTCATAATCTTTTAATATTTTTTCTCGTAAAAAGAAAAAAAAAACGAAACATTAATGAATGAAAATGTTTATATATTTAAAGATAGTTGAATAATGGTCTGAATGGATCGGATGTGACCAATAAAGTTAGGCAAATTTCAAATCAAACAAAATAATTCCATTTCATAATTTAAGAAAGGTGATGAAAATGGTGGGGTTAGAAATTGGGAACATATTTATCATTTTTTTTTTTTAACAAATAAATTATTTATTTAAAACAAAAATAAATGTTGGTTGAGGAATACAGCTATATTGAAGTTGGATTTTTTTGGCTTATTTTCAAAATTAAGCATTACCATATATATATAATTTTTTGGTTGGACCATACATTATATAATATGTTATTAAAATTAATGCGTTGGTACCATATGCCACGTCTTTCTTGATGAATTCATAATTCCAATGTCTTTAACTTTTTTTTTTTTTTATTTCTTTATCATATAAGATATGATTTGTCACAAAATTTATATACACTAAAGTAAAATTCATAGTGGGTTATCAATATTCATTGCCTTATGAAAAGACTATAATGCCCCAGAGAAGACTGGGGATGCCATGGTGGGATTTGGTGACCAAATCTCAATACAGTTGTTGACTTTATAAAGTCAATGGTCATTAAATGATCTATTAATCCCTTCGAGACATTAAAAGTTTATAAATAATATAATCACATTAGTGGTTTAAATACTCTCTTAGTCTCTTTTTTTTTAATCTTAGTTAAATGAGTATTTTATTTTATTTATTTATTTTAATTATCAAGTGGTTAAACTTTTATTTTAATTTAATAAAACTCGTACTTTTAAATTTCATCCTTATCTAGTACTTATAAAAATATAACAAATATTTTAAATTTTCTATTTATTTAAAAAATAGCTTTATTCTTTAATTTATTCTTGAAACCTATTATTAGAATATAAATAATTTTTTACACGATAATTAAAATTAATAATTGTATCTTTTAGGAAATAAATGTAAATTACAATATATATATTAATAATTTAACCTAGGAATTATAATGATAGGATGAGGATAATAATAATAATAAATTATCATATTTAAAAGAAAAAAAGTTTAATTAATCCATCCCAACAAAAATAATTAAATAAAAAATAAAACAAGC